ATTGAGTGAGATATGCACATATCTTTTGTGGGCATGGGAATGGGGGTTTTACCGGGAAATGGGATTGACATGTATTCTCGTCTGATGTTCAATTGGTTTCTTCCATTCTTTGCTCATAACCCCCAGTCTTTGACGGTGAATACGATGAGCCAGAGAAAGAGAACCGGCCAGAACGTACTGGCCAAAGGCGAGACGCTGGTGCGAGCCCTGAATCAGATGTTCTGGACCCTGGGACAAGGTGCAGCAAGTGTCTGCGCTGTCTGCGACGTCGCTGCTTCATTTAAAATGCTCTATTATGTTCTAATAATGCTTAGTAGTAGATAACAACTTTTATATATGATAGAGACCCCTGTCCTTTTGTACTAAAGCTTAATTATCCCGCGTGAATATGCCCCCGCCGACCGTTTGCCATTTCCCTCCCGTTCTACCAATTCTCACACGCTTAAATCACACATACAATAGTAACAGATGATATGTGTCACATTTCACCAAGTACCACAGCAAAATTGATGAAACCCGATTGTAAATCAGCCGGTTTTTGTGGCGTCCCACTTCCCGGTTAGTCCCAAATCCCAGTTCGATACTGTACAGTTGAAATCTATGACAAGTGAAATTTTTGAAGACACAAGAGGCATGGGGCATGGGAATTCCCATCTGAATAAGGAAATTGCTAATCCGAAAATTTGACCCTGTGTGCAGTATCATTTTCTTGCTTGCCCCTTGATCTGGACGCACCAGCTGGACACATCAGCTCAGATCATTTCTAGGTGTGTATGTGAAGCCCAGATGTGTCCAGATGTGCCCACTTTGAGCCCAGCTATTTGAAGAAGCATGCAGTGAAACGTCCAAATCATGTCACAAAGTTCCAATGTATGACTCTACGGCACTAATTGCAGGTATCAAAGAATTTCTATGAGCAGGCGAACATCTAAGTTTGCTTCAAATTAGTCGATTTATCACTAGGAGGGAGACATTTAGGAGAGTTGTTGAAGCTGCAGTGTGTCTGAAAGATACTGCCATATTACATTTTAATATCTGACCACATTGTTCCATGAAGGTGAGCGGATGCCAGCACAGAGAAAGGGCTTGCTCCAAACCTAACACAGGGAGTACATAGGATGGTTAGCTGGATTTGAGTAGTACATATTGATCCGGCTCAGATGCTTGGGATTCATAGGCAGTTGGTGGCAAGTGATGATAATAGCTTCAGCCTTCAAGCTTGAGGGATGGGATGGCCACGCCGGAAGGCACTTGGTGGCTCTGCTAGAGTACTCACAGCCTTATATTTAATTGCTATCAAAGAAAATAAACGGGATAGAGCAGAAATGAGCCCCACAAATGCTATGGGATCTAATCGGTTTTGTTTGATCTCGTTCAGTCTCGTTTGACACAAATCAAAGGGGTTATATGAAAAAAATAAGCAGAATGCCTTTGGATTCATTTGGTCCAGTTCTGCCTCACTCGCTACAAATTGAGTCAATGGTTGACTTTCTGTAGGGTTTGAAGACAGTTTCAAATGCAGATTCATCTTCAAACCTGTCAAGCCGAGATGCCGCTCATCAGGCATGATGAGTTCAAGCTCCGAAACATTAATTACCCCTCTCCTAGATTAAATCACATCTTCAACATTTTCTTTGATTGTTTGAAGCCCTTTGGAGCCTCTTTCCGTCCCTTTTTGGCACTCAATACTCTCATGTTCACGCAATACTTAGCTGCCCCTCTTCCTCCCTGCCAGCGGCGGGCTCTCCACTACCCAGCTTCCTTCCTTATGCCTCTACTTATTTATGTCTAATTTACATGGCTTCAGTTAATCAATCTATAGCTTGTAAAAACATGCCTCTCGCCTTTCACTTTGACTATCATAGGTCCAGGCCAGATGTGATCCTTACATTCTACAGTAATATATACAGGTCCTGTTCTAACTATGTACTACATCTTAACCTGCATCTATAGCTTGTGGAGAGTGTCTGAGAGAATGTGTGAGGGGGACTTGAAGACTGTCACACCACCCAGTGGTGGGACCAAATGTGGTAACAGTGATTGGCAAAAATCAGTCTGGAATGTAACCTGTGCAAATTTTAGATCAGCCTATGGTCTGCAAAGGCCTGAAAAGGTCGAACATTATTCATTGGAGTTGGAAAAAACCTGAATCTGAAGCAGAATTTGAAATTTCAGACCCTGCAGATTGTCAACCAATTTCCACTGGCCTTCAAGCTTCAAGCTTCAAACTCCAAATTCTAACAGCAGCAAAACAAAAATACTTGCATTAAGAGGGAATCGAACCCCCGGCTGGTCGAGAATGACAATCCTCCGGTGGCAACGACCAAGGTTACCACTACCCCATTAATGCTTGTGATATTTGGGCCTTCTTGCTCCGCTCACCATCTGTGGAACTTGGTGTGACGGATATAAATAGGATTTAAGGATTGCCACTGTATTGTATCGCGCGAGGCAACACCTCTTTCATGTTTGTACTTGTTTATCGCGACCGTGCAGTTACCGCGCGGTGCATGGAATATATCTACACCTTTTTACCATTTATCTCACCGTATGTGTCTCTTCAGAGCAAGAGCTGCGAACAGAGAACGGTAAAGGTTCGACTCGATAATCTTCTCCGCCCGTCCCATTACGAAACACAGGTTACCTGGTTTTGATAGGCACTAGGCCTTTGGATTACCAGGACTTACCCTAGGACTTCGCCATAGGATATTCCCTCTTGCCCTGCTTGCTAATCTCTCTCTTGTACCCTTATGTTCGCCTACCTCGCTGAAACGCCCGTGCATCCAAACCGGCTGTTACACTTGGGGCTTGTCACAAGATGCACAAAACACTAGGGTTTTGAGTGTGATGCGGCAATATAACTGTCAAGTGTGTCGCCCGGGACTCGCACACGAAGGGCAAGATTCACAGCAAACATATGCTTCTGCATGCTCGGAAACCTTTAAATATTCTGGTGCACACAATTAAATAATATTGGAGTTATGCATCAGACCTTCATGGCTGATTTTGGACGCTGCATGGCAGATAAACGATAAGCTTAATAAAAAGGAGGTTTAAGTCAACCTGTTGTATAGCATATGGCTGAATGCAAATTTATTATTTTCTCCACTTGAGCAGTGATTGTGGAGGAAGTGGACTTGCTATTCAGTTGACAATGAAAGGAAAGCAACAGGTTTTGCCACATTTGCAATTCAATGTTGATTCAATGCCAGGGCTGGGTCTTGAACATATTTGGGGTGGTTTAAGACAGAGTCGAGCCTGGGCTTCCAGTATTGTATGCTGATTGTATGTATTGTCAGTATAGATTGCTTTAAACAGCCCGTGGGAGACTACCCCAAAAGGAAATTCTGCTATCCCGGATTCCCTGGTAAGGTAGCAGTCAAACGGTTGCCTCTAGCATCACGTGATCTAAATCGTCACACTTAGATATTGTGATAAGGCTTTGGCCACAAACATCTGGGCATAGTTTAGGCACCGAGGATGAGTTATTTGAGGCTTCCTTGTATATGTCTAGGTCTTACTTTTACAAAAAATATCATTGTTGTGGTGCAGTATATCAAAAAAAGTTCTGAACTGTCAATCATCAGGAAATCGCGAATCCAAGCTGCTGACAGCTTTAAAGATTTTTCCCCTCGGAGAATTTGCGCTCACGTAAGCTACCATATATAGACAATTACCAAAATAGGAAGGTATTTCCCATGTGCTATTGAGGCAGCTGGTGGGTCAGACAAGGGAACTGAAGTCAACCACACATTCAACCACATCAATCGATTTTATTGTCGAAACTCATTGGTTCTCTTCGGTAGGACATGAGCACAGGCAACCCGTAGAGAGATCTGACACAGGGCATGCCCGCCACATCTAATCTACTGATCTCTCTGTAGATATACTATGAATCAGAGGGGTTTGCTCAGCCTAAATTGCCAGAATTTATGTAGGATAGGTACATATAATTTTCATATCCAAATGAACCAGTTTAGACCCGGTCAAACTCAAAACTGGCTGACCTGCAACTGGCTGACCTCGATTTTTGCGCTGTGACCGTGACATGTCACAATCACGTGATGCTAGAGGCAACCGTTTGACTTCTACCTTAGTATATCGGTTTAGTACACGCGCCTGTCAGCTTCTGCGGTGCGCGCGAGAGCCGGGGAGCTTTTTTTTGCTCCTCACCAGCAAGACCGCCAAGGTCCGAAGTTGGGTGATTGGCGCAGTGACTCGGTCATATAGAGTACACACGAGATGCTAAGCATACATTGTAAGTGATACCTGTAGTAGACTTTGCCTTCATTCTGATCCCCAAGCTCAGATAAAATGAGCCGATTTGAACCCTCCTGCGTCTTAGACGGTTTAAAACACCCGTCGATTTAAACGGCCGACCCCGCACTATTCAAGGCGTTTTTACAGATGGTTGTAATTTGGCAGAGCAGACAGCTCGTTTGCGGCTGTGCTCATCCTCTTGCTTCTTATCGTAAAGATCAGCTGAAGGGTAATTATATGGGTACATGCTGCCCCCAACAGCAGCACTGATATCACAATTGAGTGTCACAAATATAAGAGACCATTTCAGCCTTTATGCTCGCGCGGCCATGATCACTGAATGGAGACCCAGAATCAATGGGTTTTATTCAGTTTTTGAGCTGTACACAAATCCCTTACATCCTGAGATGATTTCATTCTCCGGAATCGTGCTTTAAAGTGCGTACTCCGAGTGCTACAAGCCCTACAGTATCCTAACTTTTTCGGCGTCTTTGCTTCAAGCCCTTCTCCGAGCCGAAGGTCCTGGCCTGCCAGTGAGGAGAACGAGCCTGCTCCGAACCTAACATAGGGAGTACATAGGATGATTAGCTGGATTCGAGTAGTACACCTCGATCTGGCGTGGATGCTTGAGATTTGTAAACAGCAGCAGATCCGGAGAGTTGGCGGCAAGCGATAAAAGTAGCTTCAGCCTTCGAGCTTCAAGTTCCAGCAGCTTGCTAGCAGCGCAAAACAAAAAGACATGCATTAAGAGGGAATCGAACCCCCGGCTGGTCGAGAATGCGAATCCTCGGGTGGCAACGACCAAGGTTACCACTACCCCATTAATGCTTGTGATGGTCGTGCCTCTCTCCCTCCAGTATTTGTAACTCTTCAGGAACAATGTCCTTAGTAATGATCCGCAGGCACCGCCATGCTGACGATGCTCAGTGAGCTGATTGCCAGGCACACGCTGACGATGCTCGCTGATTGCAATGAGTAAGCGGCATGTTCGATCTGTGGACCATACGCATCCGATCCGCAGGCATGCATGGCCAGAGGGGGGCCTGTCGTCAGACCTGTCATATCCTGTCCTGCTTGTTCCCATCCCCCGTCCAGGCTGCTCCCCCCAGCTTCCCCTCCTCAGCTGAATTATGGCAAGCCCCAGCGACAGTTCCCACCACCGCGGAGAGTTCCGATCGCGACCGCATCAAACGCGGGCCCCGTCAGTCGCCTCCGCCCCCTACATCCCCAACCTCGAAGCGCTTATCCTGCCGGAGGGAAACGTCGGCGACGAAGCGACCGCGCTGCTGCAGGACCTTATCCACACCCACCCACGAGACGATACGCTTATCGGCGACGAGCCTACGATGCCAGAGGGCGAGGAAGAACGCGAGCGCGCGGCCACGGCCAAGCTGCCCTGGTGGAAGCGGCCCTCTCCATATTGGTGCGCCTGGCCCTTGCAGCTTCCATGTGATCGTTCTAATTACTGCGTGCAGGCTAATGGTCGCAGTGCCATTCACTGCGAGCTCGATGGGCATGACCATGGCGCCCAGAGTCGAAATCTACACGGTGCTCGCCTGCGCCATACACAGGCCCGAATACGCAAAGCACCTCAAGCTGTCCAAGGACATGGGCCTTCCCTACGAAGAGTACGCGCACGACGTCTCCCCCGTCCTCCCCCTGCCGCCCCTCGCGCTGGGGACCCCTGTGGATCTGGACGTGTCTCCAGCGCTGAACGATACCCTCTACTTTGAAGAGCCGGCGGCGCCGGGAGGTCTTGATAAATGCGCATCGGACCCGCAAGTCCAAGCTACGGTGGCCAGTCTAACATTGAGTACGTCGATCAGCTGCACCGCAATGTCCCCACTGATCCCTCCCCGCAGTGCTCACCGTCGTACAAGGGATTCTTGCGTGCCTGACGACCGGCTGGTGGGGCGCGGTACGTGTCCTGCCCATCATGCCCACCATGCAGTCAATAGCTTACGCCGGCCTTGTCACCCACAGCTGTCCGACCGCCGCGGGCGCAAGCTCGTCATGGGCCTCTCCGTGGTGGGCCTGCTGTACAACGACCTCAACTTCCTCGGGGTCGCGCTCTTCGCGTCCAAGATCCCCGGCGGCTACTGGCTGCTCCTCGTCGGCCCCGTCGTCGAGGGCATCATGGGCGGTGAGCTTCGCCGCGCTAGAGTCTAGAGTCTAGGCATTTGCAACCCCAATTGACACATCCCAGGAATGACGTCCGGCGTGGCGGCGATGCACGCCTACGTGTCGGACACCACCGAGCCCGCCGCACGGTGAGCCGACCCCCGTCCTTACCATCCACGCGACTGACAGTACATACCACCATATACGCACAGATCCCGCACGTTCTCGCTCTTCCTCGGCCTGCTCTTCATCGGCATCGCCGCGGGCCCGACCCTCGGCGCGCTCATCATCCGCGCGTCCGGCAGCGTGCTCTCCGTGTTCTTCGTCGCCTCCGCCATGCACTTCCTCTACGCCTTCGTCGTCTGGGTCGTCCTTCCCGAGTCGCGCGGGGCGCGCCTCATGCGCGCGTCGAAGGTCCTCCACGCCGCGGAGCTGGCCGGCCTCAAGGCGGCGCGGCACGGGGGCCGTGCGCAGGGGCTGCTCGTGCGCGCCAAGGCGGCGTTTGCGTTCTTGAGCCCGCTGCTGCTGCTGCTGCCGAGGCGGGTCCCGGGGGGCGCGCGCCGGCGGGCGGGAAGGGACTGGAGCCTCACGCTGGTGGCGGCGGCGTACGGGCTTGTGCAGGCCATCATGGGCGCGATGTCGTACAAGTTCCAGTATGCGCTCGCCAAGTTCGCGTGGACGTCCGAGGATGTGCGTGCTCGCTTCTGTTACCCGCACCTACACACCTACGCACCTACGCACCCCGGCTCAAAGGCTCACGTCCTAACAAAACTGACGATGAACGGATTGACGCTCTAGATTGGGTACTACCTCACGCTGATCGGTGTCACCCGCGCGGCGTACCTGATGCTCGTCCTCCCGCTCACCATCAAGCTCTTCGGCCCGAAATCCGCCGCGCCCATCGCCCTCGCCGCACACACCCCCAACACCGACACCCCCGACGGAACTAACACCCCTGACGAAGCCGCCCAGCCCCAGCCCAAGGCCACCCCCGCGAAGCCGCACTCGGCGCAGTTCGACCTCAACCTGACGCGCTTCGCGACGTTCATCGACCTCGTGAGCTACGTGCTCATGGGCCTTGCGGACAGCGCGCTCCCGTTCACCGCGTTCACGCTCCTCGGCAGCATGGGCACGGGCTTCGCGCCCGGCATCCAGGCCGTCGCGCTCGCGCTGTACGCGCGCCGCGGCGAGACCGAGACGGGCAAGCTGTTTGGCGCGCTGAGCGTCGTCAATGCCCTGTGGTCAGTCCCTGTCCCCTACCCTACACATACCATCTGTTCTATGACATTGCTCATCGCTGATTGCTGACTATCAATCCCATCGCCGTGTCCAGCGCACAGATTATCGGCCCGGCGTTGTTCGGGTTCACCTACATCCGCACGGTGGCGATCTTCCCCGCGACCATCTTCATGCTGTCGGGCCTGCTGTGCGGCCTCGCGTTCTGCCTGCTGCTCTGCGTCAACCTGAGCAAGCACGCGGTGCACGCCCCTGACGACGCCGAGGAGAGCGTAGGCCTGCTGCGCGAGGAAACGCTGGTCGGCGACGACGAGCAGGAGGGTGCGGCGCAGACCCAAATCCAGAGCAGCAGGTTGACGGTCAATGAAAACTTGGTGGATGCCTGATGCCTGATCTACATATCTGCATATCTACATATGATCGTATCTGTTTCTCTTAGTATTGTTGCATACGTCCTTATACCCTCTACTTTATTTATTTCTCTTTAGGACCTCTCGGTGCGAGATTATTATTGTTATGCACATTGCAATTACATTGTCCTTGGCTCTCCTTGGCTCTTCCGCCATATACACGGGTCTATGAGAGGATGGTGCCACACGTTCATTAGTATATGTAATTATTAAATACGCTTTAACGACAAGTAACGTAGCAAATGCCAATGCTGGACGAAAGGCATAGACAGAGACTTGATGCCTAAAAACAGGTGCACCAAACTGAAGACGAAGAGGGACTAGTCATGCAGGGAGAGTTTGCACTCACGAGGGCGCTTCCGCTTGGTTGCTCCATGACGTCCAGGAGATATACGAAAGCCCACTGTTCTGCGCTGAACATGCCCTCGACAACGCAGCCAGGGCTGGGGATTGGCAAGCCGACTCGATGTGCACCTGAGGTCATGGAAGTACAAGGCGGAATCGCGGTGGGGGGAATGGGGGAGGATATGGCGAGCGGGCAGAGTGTCCACCCTGTACCGGGCAATGGTGGCTTCTGTGCGCGAATGCTTGAAGGAAGGGGGAAACAGCTCTCGGGGTATGCAGGTGCCAGCGGTTCCGATGACGGCGAGCTCCAGTTCTCCCTGAAGAGCATGGAGCTGGAAACGTCGGCGGATTCTGCCTCAGTCGGACGGTGTGGGTGGTTGTGGGCGTCAGATTCGAGCAAAGGGTATATCAAGGGGCCGGAGTACATGAACAAAGTCCCGTAACTAGTGGATGAGTGATCTAAAAGCCTATCCCGAGTGAGATACAGACACCAGCGTCGATATCTAGCGGCAAGGAGAGATTATTGAAACGAGGCAACTAGGCGTCGAAATTCGAGTACAAGGTATCCAACCTGAATACACATACGTGCCGTGCAGTTGACTTTCGACGTCCGGTCCGACCAGCCCTGCCCTCTCTGCTTTGCCACCACCATCGCATCCGGATCCCATCGACGCATCTGAGAGATTGCTGGGCCGGTAGGCGAGAGCTAGAGGACGGGGTAGGTAGGCTAGTAAAGCGCGCGTGATACACATTTATCTGAAGCTGGCGAAGGTCTAACGAGATTGCGTGCAGAGGCAGAAAATAATAAACAGGAGAATTTGCTGTCTTTTGGGAGGCGGGCCGCTAGGTGTTTTATGCACTGATCGGGGAGGGTGTGTATTGGTGCACATACTTAGCTACGTTTGGGCTTTTATAGACGCGACTGTAAGCATATTTTGTCAATCCCGAGGTCCTGTGGACAATGACTGCAAGCTTGAAGACCCCTGCTGTATGGTTGCGTGTAGTAGCGGAAATGAGAAGTGGTTAAGCCAGGGTTGAGAACTGTTGAGAACGTTGAGACCACAGATCTCGACCCGACGACGCCGGAGTCAATGCTGGATTCTGGCAAACTTGCAACCAATCGAGTTGCTTCTTACCATATCAACCTCTCGCGGCCTGCGGTATTCATCCCTCTGTTATCCCGCCAATTTTTCGAGCATGCCGTATGTGCAAGACGCAAACACTGCTCAGCACAGTGCTCTGCGAGATGTAACCGTCTTTTGACTACATGCAAATATTGTAAACACTGACAATTGATTGATTCAGGCCTTCCCTGTCAAAAATATGGAAAATTACATTCGAAGAAACAGGTTGGATGACCCGGAGGTCACAACATCCGTTGAACCTGCGATTACTGGATGGGAGACGCTTGTCGCGCCTTATACTCCTCCTATTTGTCTCAACCTGTCACCGCATGATCCTATCCTGAACTGTGTCTCTATCTTGCTTTCTGCCTTCACTTTCACTCTCAAAACCCCCCATAGCCATTTTCATTCAAAAGTACTCCCATTGTGGCCGAGTATCTGGGTGTGGCTTCAAATCCTTTACAACGATAAGATGCGTTATAGTTCACTACAAAGTGCCGAACGTATCAGAAGAGACAGTCGCCTCCTTCGATATGGGTCGATCATCAGCGTTTTTCTATGCTTCGTTTATAGGCCGCAAAGTACATTGACG